GGGGTACGTTAATCTTTTGCTTGGGACCAATAGGCTAGTCAAGTAGTGAGCCAATTTAAAATCGTTAGTTTCGTATTGATTGTTGATTATACTCTATTTGGTATCCATTGGCGTGGCTAGAAAATTTTACTGGAAGGGGTGTGTTTCATGGCTTTCTGCTTGTTTCATGGCTTTCTGCACAAAACTTTTTGCCAGGTTCAGCTTTTTCACCACATCCCGAACGGAATAGTTGGGTTTAAGTTTGAAGGCAGCAACCATTCGCTTGTGATCTTCAACGCTGTACGAAACACTTTTTCTTGTTCTCACTTGCTTCCGATCGACAGTTAAACCATAGAGGTAACTCTAAGACTAGAAGGTCCCGAAATAACGTGCTCAACTTTTTGGCTCAGCTCTGGTACTATCTTCGGTCCCAAGCTAGTCGAATCACCCCTCGAAACATAGGAAAATCCAATAACCCCTTATTTTATCTGTCATAGCGAATCAAAACAAACATAGTGTGGTACTAGAATTTTGACCGGAATGGGGTACGTTAATCGATTTGCTTGGGACCAATAGGCTAGTCAAGTAGTGAGCCAATTTAAAATCGTTAGTTTCGTATTGATTGTTGGTTAAACGTTCTCCGAAACGTTTTATTACACGAGAAACAGTAGTTTGTTGGATTCCCAACATCTTTCCGAAGGGTCGGTGCGAAAAATATGGGTGAGAGTGCAAAATTTTCTCGTGCATGCGCTGTTAATTTGACTCCAATTTCAAAACTACTTGAAATATCACAATGAAACTCACGCAGTGTAATTAATACACGCTGAGGCCTTCTCACTCAAAATTTCATTAAAATTAATACGAAGGGCTAAATATTACAATTTTTGACGTAGGACTACGTCTGTGATTTGTATATGGATGTACACTTTGTGAAAACAGAAAATGGAACATGTAACAAAAGTATGAAAGATTTTGAACGTTAATAGCTCAGCTGCCCCTGGACCAATTTCAATGATTTTATCACCATTCGATCAGACTTCGTCATTTTTTAAAATGTCACTACTGAAAATTGCACGAATGTTGCTATGATAATTAAAATTTTCACCGATTGCCTGCGAAAAGCGATTTTCCTAACACAGATTTCAAAGTTGAATTCCATCTGGTCTCACCAAACGGTGTTTATTCAATCACCCCGTGGTGAGTGGTGGTGTTCCCCATTACACAATGAAAGGCTCCCTGTAAGCAGCTAGCTATCAAGGCTGCCCTCAACCGCTGATCGGATTCAGTTCCAATCACCGTGTGTGGTGATGTCCGGTCGTCGGCATCAGCAGCAGCGGCGCGTGGTGTTGAACACTGTTCTCCAGTACACAACGAAAGGCTGCCTGCAAGCAGCGAGATGCAGCCCACATGAGCATCCATAGAAGGAGGAAGAAGCCGCACCGCTCTTGATCGGAATCAGTAGCTCTTCGTGAGTCACTGTGGGCCATCTATGTCAAGTGCGTCACACTAAAGAGTATAAACAAATCGAACCCCACTCGAATTCCTATTTCTACACAAAACACAAGCTCCTGCTGCAGTTAACAAATAAGATTTATTATATAAGACCACGTAATCCTACGTCACCATTGCGTACAAACCCATAGGGCTGCCCATTGTAGTTTTTTAAAGTGAAATTTAACTGTGGACAACAATTTAATTGTTTGAGATAGACGCTTGTTTTTTGACATCATAGTTATCCCAAAACAAAAAAAACTACAAGGGACAGCCCTATGGGGTTGTACGCAATGGTGACGTAGGACTACGTGGTCTTATATAATAAATATTATCTGTTAACTGCAGCAAGAGCTTGTGTTTTGTGTAGGAATACGAATTTGAGTGGGTTTCTCTTTGTTTATACTCTTTAGTATGACGCGCTTGACGTAGATGGCCCACAGCGACTCACGAAGAGCTACTGATTCCGATCAATAGCTGTGCGGCTACTTCTATGGATTGTCATGTGGGCTGCAGCTCGCTGCTTGCGGGAAGCCTTTCGTTGTGTACTGGAGAACACTACCACTCTCCACGAAGAGATTGAATAATATTCAACTTTTAAATCTGTGTTAGGGAAATCCCTTTTCGCAGGCAATTGGTGATTATTTTAATTATCATAGCAACAGTAGCACATTCGTGCAATTTTCAGTAGTGACATTTTGAAAAATGATAAAGTCTTAATTTTAACAGATTTGTAGAAACAAATCCTATCGATTGGCGTATTAAGACTTAAAATCCATCATTTTTGGATCAAAATCAGACCACTTCCATGCCGCGACCGACTTTGGTTTTTAAAATTGTACCCCCAAATGTTGCCTTAAAGTACATGGTATGTTAGATTTAAACATATTTAGATAGAGTTGGAATCAGGCGTATCAGCTTTTGTAAACAATGACTTCTCTCGATGATTTTTAGTAATTCAAGGTACGCCCACGCAAACCAACATTACCGACGGGTAAAGGAAGTCTTACTCTACCTGATGGTGACCCGATTGATGACCTTGACCACTAAAAACGAAATAAAAAATAATTTCCGTTAAAAATATTACTATCAAATTGACTCGACGATCCTTACACACTTAAATTTTTTCGCCGAGTAGTTCTGCAATTTATTTTGCTGAGATTCAGTAAAACAATTGCTGAGACTCAGCTAACAAGTTAGATTTTGCTGAGATATCAGCTAACAAGTAGATATTTTGCAGAGATATCAGCAAAAGTAAATGCCGAGGTAATCGGCTGTTGGAGATTTTACCGAGCTAGATTAAGTGTGTAGTGTCTGTTTAAAAAATATATTTGAAAATCATTAATTGTTGAAATAATATTTAGAATACTTGAAAAACTATCATTATATCGATATATCGGTATATCTGGCAACGCTGGTTGTGAAAACATTTCATTAGGACGAAACTGATTTTTTAAACAATTACTTCAATCGCCGAGCTCTCACAAATAAAAGCGCACTCCTGCAAATTAACGATGTCAGCTGGTAGAGAATACATTCCTCTTCCTTATGGTGTCATTCAATGTTGGCACTGATTTGACTGTGAGAATCATTTAACTGGGTCTATAGTCTACGTCACGAGTGTGCTGGCATTTGTTTGTGCTGCTGGTGATTGTTCAAAATAGCTTAAGGACAAGATTGATAAAATCCACAAATGGCCGCTATCTTCAGCCATGATAAGGACCATTTGTGGATTCCATCAACCTTTAATGCCTTAAGTCAACAGTGCATCCCTAATGAATCATAAACATAAACAAAAACCGACGCTTATAAACTTTTACTGTCCTGATAATGTTGAAAACAGCTGCATTAACGCACTCCCCTCCCGAGAAACGTCATCTAAAATCTCCAACAGCTCCATCAGCGCGCAATGATGATTAGTCTCTCCCCTCTTTTCTTTTGTTGAACACTCCATGTTGGGTTTGCATTAGCCATATAAATACATATGCATCATAAATATCACGCATTATGACGGAATGTCGCGACTTTTATAGCACGCGGCAGAGTGGATAAGGTCGAAATGTGCTTTGAAAGATTTTATATCAACAGCATTCCGTCATAGAGGGAGACCGAACAGCGAAAGCAAAGAGTAGTACAGCTTTCCCCCGAAGAACGCGTTACCCACTGAGTTGCACCCACCGCTTTGTCTCGGTGGGTTTTCAACCAAGCGCTCTGATTTTCTGCTAGTGACTAGTTCTTCATTGACCCTTCACATGCAAATAATCAGACCGACTGGTTGAAACCCCGCCGAGAAAAAAGCGGTGGGTGCAATTCAGTGGGTAATGCATTCTTCGGGGGATAGCTGTACCTAACTATAGTGGCGACGTCATATGACGAATGACGGTTAGATAAAGCAAAACTGCACCATTCAAAGAAGTGGAGTGGAATGCCCTTCTACTGAATTCTGATGGCGATGAGTCATATCGAGGGGAATTTTATCTGCTGCCATATCATCGCGGGCTTCGCGTTTGCTGACGTCACCGCTGCTCGTGCGTCTGTGAGTTTTGAAGGTTAGGGTTTGGAATTTTTCTTCGACTGTCCTCTTCGGGGAAGGTTGTACTCAACGAGCCTCAGCAATGCGAAGAATCCGAGGCCTGCAATTTACTGCTTGTCTTTTCTTTTTCTATCTCGGTTTCGGATCGGATATATTAAGTTTGAAAAGCCCACACGCCTATGGACCGGCACGCCAAATCAAATGGGATCAAAAGATGCTTCATTTCTGCTGATTAATTTCGATGTGGGTGTGGGTGAGGAAGTATGAAACTGAGAAACATGCTAAACTTTGGGTCGTTTTAGGGTCTAATTGTTTTTGTTTAAGATTGATAAGGAATGTTCGAGAAGGAAGGAATAAGCAAGGAATATCTAGACCAGATTAAGGTGGTTCGCTGTTAGATCCTTATTCTCGCTACCACTTCGAAACTTTAAGTGCACAAATATCAGCGTCCACAACACATGCTACAATGAAACTGTTACTCAACGTTTGCTGCGCTGCAGCATACATGCAGTAGCAATTTCAGGTGAAATGGAACTCTAATTTCCAAGATTCGTGTATCTGAAAATTTGAGGTGGAAGTGCATTTATAGCCTACGTGGCGACCATTTGTGGACTCTACAAGGAATCACCTTAAATAGACTCAATCGGTTGAACAATGAGAATCAATAATAATACGACTAATTATTCTTCGTAACTACTACGTCGTAATTGGAGCGTTACGACCTGTTCTCAACTTAATGTTCTTTGAGCATTTCCATAATCCACAGTTGTTAACTGAGGACGTTCTAAGCCTGTACCAATTCGAGCATTTCTATTTTCAGTACCGAACAGCAAAGAAGACGCAAATCAAACGCTTATTTCCATTCGGATCCATTCCGATTGAAGTCTTTATTTAAACCAAACAACTTGTATTTATTTCTTTAATCCCAGTAGCAGCAAATTCTTCTGATCGATCATCAATTTTCCTTAACCCAAAACTCATGCCTTCGCCGACGCAGACCTACACGGGATCGATTCTGGTTGCCGTCAATCCGTACAAAGAAATCGAGTGCTATACGCAGGTAAGTTCAAAATAAGACTTCTTTCGATTTGTTTTTCAAGAATTCCGTCCCGCTCTTAATCTTAATCCGTCCAGAACCACACGCCATACAGATGATTCTTTTTATAGGCACCGACACCGTGCCACGAATGTGCCAGGGCATCAAACCGTCCGGCTGTCTCTGTACCATAACCATGTTCAAGTTTGGATGTTTTGTTTTGGGTGTGAGGTAAAAGAGCGTGCTTCCTATGCTCCATCCAGCCGCAAGTGATTTATGGTCGGTGCTACAATAAATTTGTAACAGCAGCCAGCGAGCAAGCGGTACTGAATGCTTCTCCGGCGTTAAGTTGATGTAGTGGTACTAAAATTTTCACTACTGCATGACGCTGGGATTTACCTTATTTAGAGGGGAAAAACTAGCGTGTTGACTCTGTGAAAAGAAGGCGACGGCTGTCGAGGACATGGCTTTGGAGCGATTTTGAAAGTGTTGGCAGTCTTCTCGGTTGATGCAGATTCTCAGCTATCGTTATTCGCATCTTCGGAATATTAGTAGCAAGATATCAGAATTATTATTTTTTGTGAGATGCATTAAACAAATATAGTTACACATATTGGGTGAGATCAGTGATTGAATTGACGTAGGCAGTGATGGATCGCTCTTTTGGGACTTTTGACGTAGGACTACGTCCTTGATTTCTATATGGGGGTACATTTTGTGAAAACCGAAATTGTAACATGTAACAAATTAAGAAAGATTTTGAACGTTAATAACTCAGCTGCCCCTGGTCCAATTTCAATAATTTTATCACCAATCGATCAGAAATATGTCTCCGAATGTTGAATTTTAAAAGAAACTATTGAAAAACTGGTAAATGTTCAGCATTGTCCAAAAGTGTCGAATTTACTAACAAATCCACCAATTACCTACATGCATATGCTGCTTCCCCAGCACAGTCGTCAGAGAGTAGTAAGTAGACGAAACAAGTCGAAGTGGCATTCGCCTCCGATCCTCGGGCGCGTTCGAATAGGGAGGATGGAATTGCGTAATATTTTGCACACTCATCGCCATACTCAGAACCACACGCTCCCAACGACCACACCACTGTGTGGTGGTATTCGGTCGTCGAAATTAGTAACAGCAGTAGCAGCAGAAGCAGTGCTTTCGGCGTGTGGCGTTGAAAATTGTTCTCCAGTAACAACGAAAGGCTGCCTGCAAGCAGCGAGCTGCAGAGCCCACATAAGCAACCATCAAAGGAGGAAGAATTTGCACCGCTATGCTATGGATCGGAATCAGTAGCTCTTCGTGAGTCGCTGCGGGTCATGCCAAGCGTGTCACCCTCGTTCCAAACGACATACAGCTCGACAGCTTCATCCGTGTTGAACACCCAGCTCAGAATTACTCAACCACAGACAAACAGACATAACACTAGCAAGTTGTTCATCGAACAAGCATTTAACGGTCAATTTAAAATTATCGTAGTTGGTAGTACCGTCACCTGTGGCGCGCATAGTCAGTTCCCTTGCTTTTGACGTTTATACACTATCGCCATCTGTTCAGCGTACTACCCACCACAGTGTACTCAACAGATGGCGGTAATTTTTTAGCGACGATGTTTTACAGTGAGAAATATTCAATGTGTTATGTCTGTTTGTCTGTGACTCAACCATCACTACAAAACGGTCCTTTTCAGGACCACCATAAATTTGTTAAAGAGTATTATTTGGACATTGGTCAAGGTCATCAGTTCCCGCAAGCAGCTAGCTATCAAGGCGCAACCTGGTCTCTATAGAAGGTGTGGAATTGTAGGCCCGAATGTATTGGTGAGATTAATCATCGTCCAACCATTTTCCAGAACACGCTGGTAGGAAGTGTTAAAATCCATGTAGAATTTAAGAGAAGTGGGAATAATTCGCTTTGGGAGTGTATTCAGTCCCCAGAAAGCCAATAAAATCAAATTTGTGAACAAATTAGCTCTCACGAGTTCAATCTCTCGAAGTTCCTCCTTTTTTGCATATTCTGCACAAACGATACTTTCCGCCCCGCCCCATTCATATAATTCGGAAAGAAATCCTGTAAGGGGTGAATTGAATACACTTTAATACCAAAATGCACAAAACTTAAAAATCCATAAATAACAAAAAAAAAAACCAAAATACACCTTTTAAAGTCAGGTAGATGAATCGATAATACTCAAGTTGACAGTCCCTTGGATTCTCTTCATCAACTTTCTCTTTGAAATAAATATTACAAATTTGATACGCTTACAAATAAAAAACGGAAAGAGTTAAGATAATTGATGATTGATCAATTAAAAGAACTAAATGTTCACATTTGTTCCGTCCACTAGCGGTCCTACGTCAAGCTTCCGTTCGTGCCCCTAGACACAGACCCTTCTACTTTTTTCGTAAATTTTTAACGTAGAATGCTTACGTTAATTGCAATTGAATTTTCAGTTAACGCATCTTACAATATATAGTTTAATGCTATTAATCTCCCTATCAAAATTCAAAATATCCGCACAGTAAAGCCACACTCTGTGTTTTCACTGAAGCTACACTCGAGAGAGCTCTCAAGTGTACCTTCAGTGAAAACACAGAGTGTGGCTCTACGGTGCGGATATTTGGAATTTTGATAGAGAGATCACTAAACTATCTTCTTTAAGATGGGTTAACTAAAAAATCAATTCGATTTAATATAAACATTCTATGTTAAAAAGTAACGAAACATTCTCAAAAGATCGATCCATCCTTGGACGTAGGACTACGTCTTTCGGGAAGGGTGCCAATTCAAGGATATGCAACGAAAATTGGTCAGACTTTAAATGCTAATAACTTGGCCAATAATCAATGGATTCTGATGATTTGTATGTCGATCGATTCACCAGTGTTATAAGATTTGTGTGGTATGTCACACATTGTAATTGTGAAATATTTAAATAGTTAATGTAATGTTCTGATTTTGATGGATGTTTCTCGTTCAGTGTACATCTGCTAAACAATAATAATGAATTGATTACAACTATTATGTTGTTGTCAAAGACCGTAACGCATGAAGAAGATATAAAAGATTAAAGTGTTTTTACAGTCTGCATAAAGAAATATCTCGTTAAAGTTCTCTCATATTAAGTGATGCCTCGTTGGTACCTCTCCCCTCGGTTGTTTGTCCCCCGCTGGAATTTACAGTTAGGCAACGAGACAATAGTAGATCAGCGCACCATATCCGTAAGTCAATGCTGTCAGTCCTGGCAGCGGCAGTCATTAGTTCAAGTGCGGACGGCTACACGAACGGTGCGAAACAGCGTGCTATCGGCACTAAAAAACGTTGAGCTGGTGTCATACAGGGAGTTTTCTTCGGTGCATCCCGTGATGCGAAGATCTAAACCGACACGCAAATCCAACAACCGTGCTTCTGAAAAGTGTTACAGGCTATGCTTACAACTAGTGCAAGCAGGGGTCCGGAGAAAGAGCTGCACGTTTCGTACAATTGCGGCAACAATCCGGAAAGATTCCGGAGCTGTAGTATCGGCTCCTTTGTGGAATTAAAATCGGCTATTGTCCTAGCGCTGCTGTTCCGGGAAACCAAAGGACCAGCAGAACAATACAACACTTCCCAGGGGTGATTGACCTCAACCGGTGAGTCAATCGCTTGATTTGAGCGTGAGCAGAATATTGCCTTGTAATTTGTGCAATAGCTTTTCCTGGAATGGCAACCATCATTGAACCTTTTCGCAAAGGTACATCATATTGCTTTCAGGCTAATGACGTAACGGATACAATAAAAAAGGCACATTTAATCGTTTTGGTACTTTAGAAGCTGCTGATTATGCGGATATTGTATCTAAATTAAATGTTAGGCTAGACAAGGTCGAGCCAGACGTTATCCAGCGCACCCATTCAATTCCCGTATAAGGCAACCGGGTGAAACACTTGAAGATTTTGTTTTGGCACTGAAACTTCAAGCCGAATTTTGTAATTTAGGTGAACATTGCGAAATAGATCGCATAGTGGCTGGTGTAAATGACAAAGCTCTCCAACAGAAAAACTTACGTTGGAGATAGCTGAAAAAGTAATTACGACATGGCAGATAGCTGAAACTAATGCTAAAGCTTTACGAAGAAGGGAACATAGCTGGGATTAAATAGCCGCTTTGAAAACTTCGAATCCTAAAACGATTGGCACAGACATGAGAAAATTGGCCTCAACTTTTGAGTTGGTTAAGCAGGAGGAACATGCAAGAGGACCTATGAAGAGCCATTTAGGATACAAGGACATTACCAACGACAACAGAATGATTGGAACATACCAAGGTCGTTCAAGGCTGGGGATTGGCGTAACCAGGAGCAAACCAAACGGTCACGCTTCGCAAACTTCATTTGTGACTACTGTGGTGTAAAAGGTCACATCAAGAAGCGATGCTTCAAGTTATGAACTTGAAGAAAGATGCAGTCAACTTAGTGGAAACCCTAACACCAGGTCCTTCAGTAGATTGCGAGCTACATGACTTAATCAACAACCACGACCACAAAGGATTCGGATACCGAAGAAGAGGATATGGACGAAGATGCTAATTGGAAACGTTGTAGCAACAGTACACAGGGCTCAGATTAGAACCTCCGGAGGCTCTGGAGAGATACGACCCAACCTAATGGTACCCAATCAAAGACCGACTGAACGTATGGAAAGGCTGACCGATCGAGTAGGGAACACCAACAGGGGCGAAACAAGTGAATTTTATAGTGAAGAATATAATCAAACAAAAAGAACCTCTATCAAAAGGAAAACACCAGCTAACTGGGTGGATCAACCACTTCGGCGTTCGAAAAGAATCAGAAAAGAGAAAAGAGATAATGAATTCGTTAACATCTAGTGAAGTAATTCGAAACCAAAGTGAATTCTTGCATGTATGGAAGCTAGTTCCTCTCAGAATGTTTTTTATATTGGAGTTTATAACGGAAAACAATCATATTGAAATAGATTTCGAGTTGATAATTATCTATTTTAATTATAATCAAAGATAGGTCT